TTTTCATCTTTTGGCTATTGTGAATAGTGATTTTAGAATCCTTTCTAAAATCAGGATCCAGGCAAAGATGTTCACTATCACTACTGTACTGATATTCAAGACTGCATGGTAGCTCCTAGCCAGAACACCAAGAAAAATATGTAAAGATAGGACAGGAAGAAATAAAAATGTCATAACTTACAAATAATACAATCTTATATAGAGAATCTATAATTATTAGATATCATGAAATGTAGGCAGTCGGATGAATATGAGAAAAGAAATTCTATCACATTTTTAAATACATCATTAATTCTAACATCAAAAGGTAAAGTACCTAGTAATAAATTTAACAAAATATGTACAAAACTGTATGGATATTTTCAATTTATTAAACACTTTGAAATACTTATATAAATGGAGAAATAATAACATGTTCATGAATAGAAGTCATTATCATAAGGACTCAATGCAATTCTGATTAAATCCCAATAAGTTATTTTGAGGAATTTGATAAGCTGTTCCTAACAGAGATGTTGAGATCCAAGAAATAAGTAACGTACGCCTGAAAGAGAGAATTTTCCCTAACCAAAAACAAAGAGAGAGAATTTGCCCAATCAAATATTAATACCAGGCCACAATTCATTGGTTTTGTTATAAAACTATAGAAATTAATAAAGTATAGTATTATTGTAGTGATAGACAAATTATTGAATAGAACAGACTAGGAACAGATCCATACATAGATGGAAACAATATACTGTACAACAGAAATAGTTTAAAGTAGAGGTATGGAAAAAGATACACCAGACTTAAGTGGCATTACAAATCTCTGGAAAAATAGACTACTTAATGGGACAATTAGATATCCATATGGATACAAATAAAAGTAGTCTTCACCTGACACCAAACCCCATAAAGCAACTACTGACCCATTAAAGACTTAAATATAGAAAGTAAAACTGTATACTGTTAAAAGAAGAGATAGGACAATAGCTCCTTTATCCAGTATGGATAGATTGCTTAAACAAGTCACAGAAAACACTCACCATAAGAGAAGAGATTGATAAATTCGGTGATGTTAAAATTAGGGATTTCTAGTCATCAAAGACATAAGGAATATGAAAATATCTGTATAACTGACATAGTTCATATGTAGAATATATACATAATCCTCTGGGTTAAAATTAAATACATGGATTGTTGCTCTTTCCTGAAACTTCTCTGAAACTACAGTAAATGGATATTTAAATCATAGAGCCAGATCATGCAGAGAAAGGAGAGGGGACAGGAAACAAAAGTTTGAAAGGTAAATGGTAGCTGACTTAACAGATCCGAGAAAGCTGAATCCGAAATCAGCAGTGAATCTATAGACATAATAAAACTTAAAACTGAAGAAACTTCCAGAGGCTTGAGAATTGACTACTAAGTTTCTCTGGAACTGAAGATGGTACAGAGCCAAGACTAAAATAAGAATTATTTGAAAGCCTTTTTAAAATGAAATGAAAGTCACTAATCCCCTTTGCTGGTCTATGCTACTGCGTGACTGCCCACACCAAGCCCAGCAAAAGTCAGAAGGCTTGTTTTCTTGGAGAGGCTCTCAGGACTGGGGGATCCAGGGACAGGTTAGGTCAGGATGCCACAATAAAAGAGGTTGACCTTCATGGACTGAATGCTAACACTTCCAGCAGTCCTCATGTCCGTTGGGTTCTCAGAACAGCAGCAACTAGGTCATTACTCTCAAGCTAGAGATTAAAGGGCATCTTTTGTGACAAACATTGTCAGTACAAGAGCAAAGACCTGGAAAAAAAACACAAAGACCTGCAATACTGACATCGGGATTTGCAAAAGATGGTCCAGATCACCCTAGAGTGATGCTCATGGTCAACAAATTCCACCCACAGCTCAAAGCCTCCAGTAAGCTTTGTATTCTATTCAGAAACATGGGCAGATCAAAGATTAGACACCTGCAAAGTTACACACATCTGAGGACAGACTCTAACATATCTAAAAGTGGGTAATGTCTACATTCTTCTAAATGACCATTTTTGTATCTGTATGTATTGGATGTGTTTGCCTAAGTGTTTATGCCTGTATTCTGCTGCTACTGTTGTTGTTAGGGGCTATCACATGGGTTCTGATGCATCATGAGCACCTGTACAACAGAATAAAACAGCACCCAGTTCTGAACCATCCTCACAATGGTTGGTGTTTGAGACCCTTGTTGCAGCCACCGTGTCATCCACCTCTCAGGTAGTCTCTGATTTCAGCCAAGAGCATCTGACATCAATCGTCCACGTTACCAAGCATGATCTCCTTCTTCAGGACCGCGTCCCACCTACTAACGTGTCCAAAGTGGACGAGGCGAAGTCTCACCATCCTCACTTCTAAAGTGCACTCAGAGTGTACTTGTTCCAAGAGAAATGCGTTCATTCTTTTTTTTTTTTCTAATCATTTCATTAGGGGCTCATGCAACTCTTATCCCAATCCATACACACATCCATCGTGTCAAGCGCATTTGTACATTCATTGCCCTCATCATTCTCAAAACATTTCCTCTGCACTTAAGCCTCCGGCATGAGGTCCTCATTTTTCCCCTCCCTCCCCGCTCCCCACTCCCGCATGAGCCCTTGATAGTTTATAAATTGTTATTTTGTCATATCTTGCCCTGTCCGACGTCTCCCTTCACCCACGTTTCTGTTGCCCTCCCCCCAGGGAGGCGGTCACATACAGTTCCTTGTGGCCGGCCCTGATTCAACACTCTTCTTATCACAGGCCTCCAAAGGCACCAAGTCTGCTCAGGCCTGCCTTCTTCGTTGCTCAGCTTTTCGCATGTTGACGACGAGACCGGAAATACCTGACTTGGGTCAGGCGCACCTGAGTTTCAAAAGGACATCTTTGGTTTACTTTGTTTTTCCATCTTTGCTTTTTAACACTCTCAAGAAGTCTTTGGTAGCAGACTTTCCCAACCCAAGATTCCGGCTTCCATGAGTGTTGATGGTGAAGCCAACTGAAATGAAATCCCTAACAACTTCCATCCTTTCTCCATGTGCCAGGCTGCTGCTTATCGATCCAGTCGTGAGGAATTTTGCTTTCTTTATGTTGTAGCATAATCCATACTGAGAGCTGTCGTCTTTGATCTTAATCAGTAAGTGTTTCAAGCCTTCATTTTCAGCAAGCAAGGTTGTGTCTTCTACGTTGTTAATGAGTTTTCCTTCGTTCCTGGTGCCTCAGTCTCCCTCCTATAGCCCAGCTTCTTCGATTGTGTACTCAGCACACAGAATGAGTATGGTGAACATAAACAACCCTGACACACACCTTTCCTGATCTTAAACCACGCCTTTTTCTATATAAACAATTGCTTTTTGGTGTGTGTACACATTCCACATGGGGACAATTAAGTGCTCTGAAATTCCCCGTTTTCACCATGTTATCCACAATTCGTTACAAGCCACACAGTCAAATGTATAGGTAACAAAACACATGTAAGTATCTCTGGTATTGTCTACTTTTAGCAAGATCCATCTGATATTAACTTTGAGTTTCTCATGCCATGTTTGCTTCTGAATCCAACTTGAATTTCTGAAAATTCTCTGTCAATGTACTTTTACAATCTTTTTTTTCTTTTTAAATTATCTTCAGCAAAATTTTACATGCATATATTAATGATACTTCTCAATCATTTTTGTTTTCTATTGGATCACTTTTCTTTGGAATAGGTATAAATATCAGTTTGCCAGGTAGCTGGCTTCCAAATTTCTTGGCAGAGATGAGTGGCTTTGCATCCATTTGTGGAAGCATCTCAATTGGTATTCCAGCTGAGAGCATGGCTGTGTGGGTATACGTTTGAGTGTGTGTTTATGAGTGCATCTGGATACAAAGATCTGTGTGCATACCTGGGCGTGTGTGTGTGTGTAAAGTTCAGGAAGTGCTGTGTCATAGGGGTGGCCCTTACCTACAACTCCAACATTCAGTCTCACCTCCACCTACATGGGAGTGTATCTGTACAGGTCTATCCACAAGACTGAACCTCAGCTGGACAAATGATTCTAGAAGTCCCTGTGCTGGGGATTTTCAGGTGGGTGGGAGTGCTGGTAGCTGCAGGATATTGTCCCTGACTACGGAGAAACTCTGCCCTTAAGATTATAAGGAGGAATTGGGGGAGATGGCATCGCTATCCCAGCACCTCGCTGTCCATTATAAGGAATAGATCCTATTCTTGTGTCTCATGGCTGTCTGTTCACCGGTGGCCACAGAGGCCATGAGGCCACAATTGTGTGACTTGGCATTCTGCTCTCAGGTGAGGACAATGGGAAGCTTTGATCTGGGCTTCCACACATTTAACCCCCCAAAAAGGGGTGATGGGATGAGATGACGTGAACCCCAATAAGCAGAAGGGGTCCAGGGTATGGACCAGGGTAAAAGATTAGGAGAAGTGAGAGCCAGGGCACAGCGAAGTTTGGGGTCAAGGATCATATTAGATTCCCAGCAGAGGCAGGGTCAGGTCAGAGGCAGGTAGTTAAATGTTAGAATAGCTGCCTCTCCCTCCAGCACCAAACTTCGCTTCTCCAAGGAAACAGTTTCCCAGAATCCTCACCTGCATAAGGCAGCCAGCTTTTCCAGAGGCTCCTGGTCGTGCTGAGGACCTGACCCTGAGGGAGACCTAGACCTTGCCCAGATAGTGCACAGCCTGGAAGAAGTAGAACAGGAAGACCCAGCCTGGCTATCCTCAAAGAGTTCCCAGTCAAGGGCAAGACAGTAATGAGAAAGTCTGAACCACCCACTGACTGAGAGCCAGTGCCAGGCTTTGATAGGAAGGAAGGAGGGCTGAGTAATTCCAACAGGGAAACTGTGCAGATGGGGCCAAGGCTGGCACGACTCCCTCTGGCATAGGGAGATGGAGGGAGAAGAGGGGGGATTCACCTGCGCTGATCTCCAGAAGGCCTGGACCTTGATCCAGCAGGACTCCAGTGCTGGGTCTTTATGTACCTAGCCACTACCTGCCCTCTCCCCTTGTCCAGGGCCTGACTCATACCACAGGGCACCACATGGACAATGAAGCCCTGCAGAAGATGGTCAGATGTGCCATGCATGACTACAGCTATAAAAATCCCATGCAAGACCACCTCTATTTCCCTGAGAAGTACTGGCTCTCTCAAGAGGAAGGTAGGGTCTCACCCCTCACCTAACCCTGACCCCAGCAGTAACCTCATGCTGACCTCCAACCTGAACTAAAATTGTGTCTCAATCTCTGCCATGATCCTACACCAATCTTATCTCCTCCTATGAGTCTGGCTTCTTCCCTAACCAATCTCCACTTCAACCTGACTCCCAACTACCTGATGTGACCCTGACCCTGGAGGGAGAGATCCAGCCCCTATCTGTGCCACAGAACTGGACGAAAATCTGGGATCTTCTCCTTAGAGCTGGAGAGAGTATTAACCTTCCCCCAGACAAATAACACTCCTCCATGCATATCCGATGCCACCGCCTCCTATCTTCTTGGTGGCTCTGTTCCATCCCCCTCCCACCACCAGGCTTCGCTCTACCTCCCATGCCGCTGTCCCCTCAGCCCAAAAACCCTGCCTAATCTCTGCCTACATCAAAACTGTATCTTGCTCCTGCTCTTTACAGCCAAGATTCTCAGAAACATATTCTATTTTCATATTCAGTGTCTCTATTTCCGCCCCTCTTTTTACACCTTATTTTCTCTCTCATTTGGTTAGAGGTGTATGATCTGTCTACACTTGTGTCTCCTTCACCTAAAACAGAACCTTGACTTCGTAAGTATTTATTGAATGAGTTGCATGACGAACTGAAATTGAGAGTCTGCATCTCCTACTCTCAAACACTAAAGCTGGCTCGTATTTGTTCTAATCGCCAAATTCACGGGCCTCTTCAGTTTCCTACCTTCTGAAACCTGTTCTAGGCATTTCACTCTCTGACCTCAGGGTGCTGTCCAGAATTCTTCTCTCCTCACTCTTCTTGAGGCTATTTTATCCTCTAAACCATGTCTCTACAGCCGTCCTTGGCCCTCACTGGAATTGTGCTCTGCTTCATCAGGCTCTGGTCATCTTTACCTGGATGCTTCCAAACACCTTGAACTTAGCATTCCCACCCAGAATTCTGAATCCCAATGTTGCACGCCCACCTTACCCTCACCCCGCATTCCACTTTAGGCCTTCCAGGCCTCCTTTTGTAATATTGCTCATGCCTGTTCTTTCAGACTACTGGGGCAGGGTAGGGGGCAAGGGCAGTGGGAAGAGGAAATAAGGTCATATAGGCGGGGCTTTGGAGGGGTGTAGGGAGCGTCTTGTTAGGTTATTATTTGTGGAAATGTACTGCAGCTTCTATGTAGATGTTGGGGTTTAAAGACGAGGCAGGGAGGTCAGTAGGCTAATAATAACTATTCATGTGCTCGACATCGTTCTGAGTGCCTAACGTAAGTATACGAACTAATTTAAGCCTCAGACCAACTCTATGAAAGCGTCATTGCCCCATTTTAAAGTGGAGGAAGCTGACAGTCAACTGGCAGCACTGAAACGGAAGCCAGGCTGTCTAGCTACAGCGTTCTGTCTGTTAACTTCATTCTCCTGTCTCCTGTTGAGGCACTGCAGAGAGACAGGGGTGAGCTGGGGGCCACAGATTCAAATGGCTTTTCAGGAGGCAAAATAGGCAAACCTGGTGCCTGGATATGTTGATAAGGGAGGGGAAGAACTAAAGGTCTTGTTCCCAGATTGGCTGATTCAGCGAGGGCAATCCAAGGATAACACGTGATCAGGTGGTGATGACACGTGATCAGGTCAGAAGCTCCAAGGCCCATTAGAGGGTGGCTCTGCGTGGGGAATGGGCTGTTGCTTTGAGGACAAGTTTGAGGCCAGGCTGGGCAGGGGACTGGCCTGAGGGAGGTCCGTGAGAACCAGCTTTGTCTTGGGGGGTTAAAGGAGGGAGCTGGGGTGGCGTAGGGAATAACCCTGTCTGATCTCCACACCCTACGATCAAGCAGACAGATGCATCCCAGGCTATCTGTATGACGACCGCTACGCCACCTGGAGGCTAGGACCTTACCACAGCCCGGGCAAGATCAAGTATCCCACCTGTCTGCCCCCACTGCCTAAGGTATTGACTTTGGCCAGCACGGATGCCTAGGTTTGGAATGTGTCCCCTCTCCCCATTCGGGCCACAGGGACAGGCGTTTCACCATTAGTGTCTCATCCTTCGCCCACCAGTCATCACCCATGACACTAGTGTTTGCGTTTCTAGGGAACAAGGAAGCCCGGAAGTGAGGCTCTACTGGGCCCTGAGTCCCAATCTCTGGAGATGGCTCCCCGAAATGCCAGTCTCTAACTGGTCTCTGGGGTGAGGGTGGGTGGGTATAGTCATCAAGCTTGCCACTTGTCCCCTCCCCCTGTGGTGCAGCCCCTGTGACAGGGATGAGCTAAGCACCCTTGTTCGAGTCTCCCCCCCTTTGTGATGTGAGCCAGGGCTACGGGAGGGAAGGGGGGCAAGCCACTCCCGGGCAGCACAACCTCAGGAGCATTTCCCTGGAACCTAACTGGGCGCTGTGCGAGGACACCTGAGAGGACTGTGGTCAGAGCAGCCCCTCTTAACCACAGTCTGATACTGACCTCGGGGTGATTGAAAACTTTTGAATCGGCACTTTTTCAAGCATCAAGATTTTTCACAAGTTCCTCAGGTGATTTTGACGGGCAGGCCTGATTGAAAATCCTTTATTAGGGAGACGCTGAGACACAGCTTGGGTGAATCAACTAGCCAGAGAGACCGGGAGGAGGAACCTCCCAGACAAGCTCTAAGGCAGGGTCTTGGGAGGGCCAGGCCACTCCCCGTCACCTACAACACTGACCCGGGAGCCGAAGCAAGCGTACTGCCAGGAGACAACCCCAAACACTGGGGAGCAGGAGGTGGGGAGTGGGCAGGCGCAGTAGGATCTGGCGGTCCTGGGAAAAACTCAGTTAGCAGCTCTGGCCAGTCAGAGGCTGAAGATGAGCCCGTGCCACTTCCAGGAGGCCGGGACGGAGACTGTAGTTGCAGGGATGCCTCTGGAGTGTCTTCCTAAGCCTAAGTCGGAGCGGCTCAATGCCTACGGTAACGGGGCTGCGGAGGTGGGGGGAGGTGGGCAGTCCCTGGAGCGGGGCGGAGCGGGGCCGGGGCGCGCTGGGGGGCTGGCGAAAGTCGAGGGCCGTGGAGAGAGCGTAACCCTATTCTCTCTGCCCCTCTTTTTTTTTGCCTTCACTCTCTGTCTCTGCCCCCGGCCCTGTCTCTTCCCCTCGTTGTGTCTCCGTCTCTGGGACTCCCGGGCTTGGGGCGTGGGCTCAGAGCGCGAGGTCGTGGTGAACATGCTGAATTCGCTGTCCCGGAACCAGCCTCTGCCGCAGATCGCCCCCCGGTGCGGCTGCGTGGACCCGCTGCGGGGCCGCCTGCCCTTCCAGGGTTACGAAAGCACGTGCTCGGGCCGTCATTACTGTATGCGCGGGATGGACTACTACGCCACCGGGGCGCCCTGCCTTCCACGCCGCCTGCCGCCTGAGTGCTGCGCG